AGAGAGAGAGAGAGAGAGAGAGAGAGAGAAGGGGAGGGAGAGAGAGAGAGAAAGAGAGCGATAGAGCGAGAAACAGAAAATGAGAATTAATTTTCCACTTTATCAAGACACACATGACTTCAACATAACTTGCCACGCAATTGAAATTTGCATTGACGCCGAGGAAGCGGGAATCGAGCAGGCAGTCGTTTAAATCGTCGATTTGATTTTCTATATTTGGTGGCGCTGCTTGATCAATGTGATGCACTCGATAATTATCAATATTAATCTTTTGATCTTGTTCGGGTCTCTTTCGATCTTCTTGTTCCGAGCAATAATCTTAAGCAGTTCTGCACAACGCCACTTTTCTCATAGCACATTCTTAAATACTGTATAATAAGTACATTATGCGTATTTATAATAAGTGCATTATGCGTATCAAAATATCAGAGGTAAGAGTCACGAGGTCTCATATTTGTATAAAATACTTGGCTCGTATTCCAAAACGTTCTTTTTGAGGAAAATTTTACTGGAAATCCACGATGTATGTAAAGCGAACGATAAATCTTCCTCAGCAAGCACATTTCGAGATGCTTCTTTACCGTGGGAGATCGTTTCCCCTTTTGTTTTTCGTGCCGAACAGCGTCAAGTAAAATTTGTTCCAAGGGGAATCGCGCTATTTAGAGCTTGATAGCTCGTTATGTGTGTATTAATCACACCGAAAAGAATCTCATCACGTAACTTTACATAAATATTTTACATAAATACGAATATCCGAGATACTCATATTCGTATAGACAAAGTTTTATGATCTTTTGTATTATCTATCTCTTTTTAATGACGTCAGAAGCGAGAAAATGCATGCTAAGAATTCTTGCAAAATGCATTCAAATAAAAAGATATATCCATAAAGTAATATTTGCAATCGAATAAACAAATTTGTAAGATATTTCATACATTTCCCTTGTTCTAACAATCAATAATTTGTCGTAAATTAATAACATAACATACAATCTTCTTAACCTATTTCTTCGCCTATTTCTATTCAGGTTAATTTACAATAAATTATTGATTGTTAGAATAAAAGGGGAGTGCACGGAATATCTTATTAAAACTTAATATAATTAAAATATTATCATAAATATTATAAAAATATATTATATTTATATTAATATATATATATAATATTATATTTATATAATACTTATAATATTAATTTTATAATTATTAATAATTATAATTATAATTATATTATAAATATTATTATTTAATTTAATTTAATATAATTTAATTTAATCAAATTTGTTTAATCAATTGCAAGTGTTACTTTATGAATATATATTTTTCAACGTATTTGGCAAGAATTTTTAGCATGTATTTTCCCGCTTCTGATATCATTAAAAAGAGATAGGCGAGAAGCGAGGGATTAGAAGCCTTAATGTCACTGGAATATATTGTAAAACATTATTATCCTCCCATAATGAAAGTTGAATCGCGCAGACTAAATCCTGTGACTGGCTCCGACTGGCTTTGAAATATTACAGCAATTTAATTGGACACTACTTGAGTCTTATTTCTGAAATGTTTGATAAAAAATAACGTCACAAAGTGGCAATACGTAAAAACAATAGGTGGACACGAGATAACCCGAGCGAATCGTTACGGTGTTAATGAGAACTTCGGCAAACAGCCGGTAATCGTGATGACGTTCGTTACGATTGGATAACGTGGCGGGATTCTTCTCATTGTAACCAACACGCACATGACGAGCTATCAAGCTCCAAATACCGAGCAATTTCCCTCAAAAGGAATCTTGCCTGACACTGTTCGGCACGAAAAATGAAAGGGAAATGATTTGCATCCCGAAATATCCTTGCTGAGAAAAATTTATCGTTCGCTTTACATACGCCGTAAATTTTCAGAAAAATGTCCCTCAAAAGGAAATTTTGGAAATGCAAGGTCAAGTAAAAAGAGCTTTCCCGAGATGATAACTTTTTCTAAAGAATAACTTTTTGAAGGTAGCCTATTTGAATGCTCCCTTAGATATTTCACATAATCGAGTTTTTTCAAGTATGTTGTATAAAAGTAAAACCAGATCTACAATGTGCCTTTCACTTTCTCTTTCCTGATCTCTATCTTTTTCCGGCTTGAGGTTTAACGTTTCAATCGGAAGAGAATGAAGAAACGGAAAGCGAAGAGCACATTGCAGATCTGG